ATCTGTATAAAAAAAAAAACACTTACCTGCTGGAAAATGATTCATCAGAGATTTAGAAGACCTAGGCCACCTAGCCTGCTAGTAAAGTTGCGTTGTAAACACGCGTACTTGTAAGTTGTAACGTTATTATTAGGCCTATACATACGATTGTTAACAACCGGTTCGTGGAGGTCATTAAATTCTAAGAACAGGTTTGCACGAACCGGTGCGAACCGGCTGAATCCCACCACTGGTTATATTCCATTGTGCTAATCAGATATACTGTATTGTAGTTTTCAATATTGTTTTGGTGCAAAACTACATCAAAATAAGGGGCAAAATTTATAGATTAATATCAGTTCAAATGTTTGCCAATTAAAACAAAACATAAGAGAGAGAGACTGTAAAACTAAGTCATTGAAGTGACATAGTTTTTGAGGACAATGTTTTTTTTTTCTTCTGTTTTTACTTTTGCAGCATGTAGTTCAGTGTCTTTCCAAATATATAGCTGTAATTCTTTGATAAATTGTATGACATTATTACATCAACCATCAGACTGTATGTGCAAAGTTTGCTAAGTTGTATAACATTGTTTATTACATCAACCATCAGGCTGTATGTGCAAAGTTTGCTAAATTGTATGACATTATTACATCAACCATCAGGCTGTATATGCAAAGTTTGCTAAATTGTATAACATTGTTTATTACATCAACCACCAGACTGTATGTGCAAAGTTTGCTAAATTGTATAACATTGTTTATTACATCAACCACCAGACTGTATGTGCAAAGTTTTCTAAATTGTATAACATTGTTTATTACATCAACCACCAGACTGTATGTGCAAAGTTTGCTAAATTGTATAACATTGTTTATTACACTAACCACCAGACTGTATGTGCAAAGTTTGCTAAATTGTATAACATTGTTTATTACATCAACCACCGGAGTGTATGTGCAAAGTTTGCTAAATTGTATAACATTGTTTATTACATCAACCACCAGACTGTATGTGCAAAGTTTGCTAAATTGTATAACATTTTCATTTGTGTGTGAGCTTCATGGTTTTTAACCTTGTAAATCTTACCTCGTGACATCTAGGTTTCAGTGTTATTAACACTATTATTTTTATATCATCATAAAATCTGGTTTTATTTAATTTTCCTTTAGGATACACTAGAAGAAGCGAGTGAAGATGTTATACATGAATGTTTTGCTGAGAGATACCTCAAGTACCCAGTTTGCTGGAAGGAAGAATTCAAACAGTGTCTTGGTGGATTGAAAAGTTGTAATGGAACTATTGTTATCTCTGGGAAGCCTGGTAGTGGAAAGACCACTTTTATGGTAAAGTTTTATAGTTTTTAGTTTCAGAAATATGTTTATAGGATTTTCATATATATTTGGATCCACCCTAAAATACACTTATTATAAAGGATATGGGGCTTCAACTGTCCAAGTAATGTGTTTATTAGGATGTGTACTTTTTTAGCATTATGACATGTTTATTTTAAGATGTAGGTATAAAAATACGTTTTTCATTTCAATTTGAATCCCACACACACAGCTAACAACTGTTGCTTGATTTTTAAAATAATATGGCTGTTATGACAGTCTTTTACTAAACCTTACAATAAAGATAATCCATGTTTGTGTTTATTCGTATATTCAAGAATAAATTAATGTGTAGAACAAACTCATAACAGTAATGAATTTTACTTTTTAATAGTATAATCTTATAAAAACAGTGTTGGCGTCAAGTAAAAACATTAAACAGTACTTTCATAATTTGGCTCCAAAAATCTTGTAACAAATTATGCATTGCTCAATTATCTTTTGCTTGTAATGATGCAGTTGATGGAGAATTGTTTCCAGAGCATTTGTAGATAAATTATTTTTCTGGAATTATTTAACCTTCTTGCTATGGATAGATCAAAGTGCACATGTCATGACCTTTACAGAGGTGCATTCAAAATTTAATTAAACTACTTTATTAGCAATATAAACGAATAAACTTGTCATCAAAACACAGTTAATAAATCAAATTTTAATATATGTTTTAAGTTATTTCTATAAGGAAATATTTAAAAAGATCCCCTCTATTTCCCCTAATATGAGAATCCTGACATTTATCACCCCTCTTTGAAGAATGGAAATTAACATAAATTACTCATTATAATATAGCTATTACTAAGACAATGTCTAATTTTCATGGCCTTCAATCGTATTTCTTTATGGATTTATAAACTAGAAAATCAGACTTTCTTACCATGCCCACCTTTCACATCCTCTCTTTCTTAAATTGCCAGTAATTCTTTCACATGTTTTATATTATATCAGTTATAACCAATAGAAAGGCAAAGCTTTAATCTATCAAATGAGGTATAATTCTACATTATATTTAGAACATAGTATTATCGATTTTTGTCTCCAGTTTGAAAGTTAATCTTGTGATTTTCAAATCAAGCAGCCCCTTGGTTGAAAACCAGATAAATTATAATAGTTGTAGGACACTGTTTGCTTTGTACATGTTATTATTCTGTATTCTTAGGTGAATCATTTAAGTAAACAAAAATTACTTAGTGTACAAGTACCATCACTATAAAAATGTAGGCTTAATTTTTATTTGCAACTGACATAAAAAACAAGAGGTAAAGGTAAGTACTATTTTTCTTGCTTTTCATGTATATTCTTTATTTATGATTTAAAAGCAACTAAAATATAAAAATCAGAAACTTATTAGGTTAGATTAGGTAAGAAAATGAAAAATAATAATAATAAAAAATTCTTCATGAACTATGCTTGTGAACAGCTTGTATATTACGTAATTCAATACCGTAACATAAGCTACTCATTTGCCGAGTGATTTATAACTTGTGTGGTGGGATAATTAGTTAGACATGGCTCAGATGGCAATAAAACAATAAAATTAAACATAAACAGATGTAGATTGTTACCAGCCTGAAGTTATTTAGGATATAAAGTTGTAGTTTTTGTTACAATCTGCAGTCATTTGAGAGATAAGTAAAGGGTAATTTAGATTTTTTTTTTATCTTGATTACAAGGTCGGTCAAATGAACAGAGTCCATATAGAGTTAGGGTAAAGTAAATAAAAGATAAAGTTTTACTGAAAAAATAAGGTTTAATATTTATTTAAGAGATGTTAGAGGTTACACAAATGAAACTTGAAAAGTGTCAGGTGAAGAAAAGTATTTTTAATCTTAACATGAAAATCACTTTGCATTTGGAGCAGTCAACACCCTGATTCTATATATTCATGGACAAATCTTCAGTAAAAATACTTAATTAAAAAAAAAGCTGCTTTTTCATGTACAAAAGACTTGTAATGTTTAATGAAAGCTTGCAAAATTTCGTGAAGATATGCAAAGCATGTTAAAAGTTATAGTATAGAAACTGATGGTTACTTTGTGGTTAAAGGGTTGGTCACATCAAATGACCCTATATAAAGAGTTAAACTTTATTACCTTGTGCGTTAATGTTTTCTGGTTTTGATAGATGAAGCTGAAGTAAACTTTGTCTGTTTTGTTTTTTGTTACTCCAGTCACACCTCAGTAAAAAGATCAAAGATCATCCCATTGTGACTCATTTTGTAGGAGCAGATTCTCAGTCTGCTAATTTGAACAACCTTCTTCTGCACATTTTGAACAGCGTCTGCTCCAAGCTGAGCCTCACCTGTTCCCTGCCCAAAAACAAACAGTAAGGTTTCTAATTTTGCTGAATAAACTTTATTTTTCATTACCGTACTAGTAAAATGCATTATTACAGATACCTGATGTTACCTATTATTGAGTTTGAGACGTGAATGGTTAATATTTTAGTGGTAAAAGAACATGTTTTTCTTTTTAATTTTCGTTAATTCTACAGTACTGTGTATTAGGTTATCTGTGGATTTTACTGTAGGTAGTACAGTGTATATGTTATTTAGGACTAGATATTGATTAGATGTGTTGCTATAATTGTTTGTGTATGTTATTCTTTTACACAATTTTAATAACTAGAGAAGCACAACATCAGTTCCTGGAAGTTCTGCGAGAAGCAGTTTCTGTTTCTTCAAGTAAGACACTTCTGATCCTTATAGATGGTTTAGACCAATTATCAGATGAAGGACAGTCTCCAAATCTAGACTGGCTACCTCAAGACTTACCTACCGTAAGTTGCTTTATACATTTATTTAATAACATTCCTGTGAGAAAATTTCATTTTAATAGCTGTTTACATCTCCGTCATGCATTTACATGTTCATTAGTTTTAAACATGACAACATGTAGCCAAACTTTAATTAAAGCTATTGTACTATCTTAATTTAATTAGCTGAACTCGTCACTGGGTTGATTTTAAATCTTGCTTTTAATCTAAATAAATATCTTGTTCAGCTCAGAAGTTCATTTAAATTTTTTCTTAGCTCAATAAAACTGGTACATTCATCATATATCTTATATGTACAATAAAAGTTTTAAACAATGACATTAAAATGGCACAAAACTGGTGCCTTACCAAGTAAATGCCTTTTTGTTTTTTATAAATATATTCAAAAGTACCTTTCAGTTAGCCTTCATCCAAATTATGCCTTATAGATTGTGCACCTGGTTTTAGAAATCTTCATCACACAGCTATGAATAAATAACTAGATACTTAAAAGATACAAGATGAAAACAGATAGTTTTTGTTTTCAGAAATTGATCTTCATTTAATTATTTCTGGCTTTTTTATTTTTCTCTGAGAAGTTCCAAATATAAAATATAAGAACTTTAATGATTCCATTTAGATTCACAACTTATTCCTCCTTTACTTGTAAGAAGTGTAGATTATATTTTATAAAGCAAATTTCTGCTTTAGTCAACCTCATAGGTTTATTCACTAAATTTCTCCAAAGAAGTTAGTTTTATACAGTAAATATAAACTTTACTTGTAAGAAGTGTAGATTATATTTTATAAAGCAAATTTCTGCTTTAGTCAACCTCA